GCAGGGGTGGTGTGGGGGTGGGAACAGTGAATGTAATGGTTATTTCTGTAAGGGAAGTATTTTTCATCTCCTCGGTAAAATGCTTGTCTGTCAGATATTGTTCTAAAACTAAGTATCCAAATTAAGACTTCGCCAATTAGGGGTGGGGGTGTGTGTAATTTATGGAGGTTTGGTGACTTAATTGTAAGGAGCTGCACCACCAGTCCACAGGATCATGGCTCATATCCACCAGCTATCCCATGGAGAAAGATGGGAAATCACCTTCTATACAATTTACTGCTTCGAAAAACCCACTGGTGGATTGGCTATGATTTGGTTCCAACTCAATGCTAAACAACAATAATACATGTAATTAATATATATAATATATATATATATATATATACACACACAGATGTATTCATATTTTTTTGTTGTTGTTAGAAGCCAATGAGTAGACTAGGACACATAAGGTCATATGAACAACAGATCTGAACCTTGTCCTATCCTTGTCATGATCTCTGTTCTGCCCAAGCCCTTTGTAATAATCTTAGTGTCAATCCATCTCATGAAAGGTCTTCCATAATTCACATGTATGTGTGTCTATACATGTTAATATAGAAGATACACATTATATATAAGCACATATGTAATAATATATTTCATATATATTTAATAATATATTAATATATTGTATTTTATAATTTATATATAGAAATGAATGTATGTTGTTGTTATATGCTGTCAAGTTAGAACCAACTCACAGCAGAACCTCCAGCAGATTTTCAAGGCTGTAAATTGCATGGTAGGAGATTGCTCATCTTTTTCTACCAGAAACACTGGTGAATTCAAACTGACAGAGGGCCACCTTTGCTTTAGCAGCACAACTAGCTATGGTTTATGGAACCAGACACAGACACACATAGACACACTGAGAAAAGAGAGAGAGAATCCAATACAGAGATCTTCTTAGTGGAGTAGTGAGTAACTTTTCTGGCATCTAACAGAAAATTTGAAAGTCAAATTTACCAGCCATTCTATGAAACAAAGAGAGCTCTGGTGACCTAGTGCTAAGAAGTTTCACTGCAATCCCAAAGGCACACAGTTCAAATCCACCAGGGGCTCTGTGGGAGAAGCTTGGGCAATCTCCTCCTATGGGATTAACTGCCTCTGAAAACCTGCTAGAAGGTCAGCTATGGGTTATTTCCAATTCAAGAGCACATAACAACAACAACATCTGTGGAATAAAGATGCCCTGTGTCCTCCCAACCTCAGTGTCCTCCTATCCTGACATCTTAGATGATAGTGTTTGCCATCCATAGATCACTATGAGTTTGGCACTGACTTGATAACAGAGGGTTGTTATTGTTATTGACATAAAATTGATTTATAGTGGCCTATGAACAATGGTTCTGAGTCTTACTCTACCCTGACCCAACCTTACTATCTGTGACATACCTATCCTTATTGCCACAGTCACTGTGTCAATCCATCTCATCCAGGTTCTTCTTATTTTGCTCTGAGCTTTCACCTTTCCAAACAGATGTCTTTATCCAAGGACTGGTTTCTCCTGGTGACATGCCCAAAGTATGTAAGATGGAGTTTAAAAATCCTTGTCTCCAAAGAGCAAACTGGTTTTCATCCTTTCCAGGACAGACCTGTTTGTTCTCTTAACAGTCCATGATCTGTTCAATACTCTTCTCCAGCACCACAACTCAAAGACTTCAATTCTTCTTCTATCATCCTTAATCATTGTCCAGCTCTAAGATACACAGCAAGAAATTGAGAAGATCATGGCCTGGATCAGGCATACCTTAGTCTCTAAATGGACATCATTGCTCTTTAGCACTCTGGAGAGGTGCCTGACAGCAGATTTTCCCAATGAAACTTTTCTTCTGGTTCCTGACTGTGGGTGCCAAGAGTGCTGATTATGGATCCAAACAAGATGAAATAATTAACAATTTCAATCCTTTCTCCATTTGTCATAATACAGGCCTATTGGCCTGTTGTGAGGGTCTTTGTTTTCTTGATGTTGAGATGCAAACCATATCGGACCTTCAGCAGCAAGTGCTTTAAGACTTTCTCAGTTTCAGTAAGCAAAGTTATGTCATCTACATAACACAGGTTGTTGATAAGTCTTCCTCCAATCCTGATGTTACATTCTTCTTCATATAATCCAGGTTCCCAAACGATCTGTTCCACATATATTGAAAATTTTATTTTCATGTCTTCTTGAAATTATTTCCATCTTTTGAAATAGTATATTTATACCAACTATATACAATAGAACACATGTACACTAACAGGACAACTGAGGTGGTGCTTTCATGTATGGAAATACAAAGGAAGAGGAACAGTTGTAAGCAGACACTAGTGATTGGAACATAGAACGTGAGAACCGTAAATATAGGAAAATTAGATATAATTAAGGAAGAAATGGAACACATAAATATTGACATACTAGGAATTGCAGAGATGAAATGGACTGGCTTGGGGCATTTTGAGCTGGACGATCATATGCTCTATTACTCCAGAGATGAAAAGGTGAAGAAAGATGAGGTTGCTTTCATAGTTAAAAAAGTCATTTCTAGAGATGTCTTGAAATACAATATTGTAAGTGACAGAATAATATCCATATGCATACAAGGAAGTCCAGTGAATACCACTATTATTCAGATATATGCACCAACAACCAGAGCCAAAGAAGAGGAAATAGAAGATTTCTACCAACTTTTACAGTTAGAGATTGATCGAACATTCTATCAAGATGAATTAATAATAATGGGTGACTGGAATGAAAAAGTTGGGAACAGGGAGGAAGGATCAGTAGTTGGAAAACATGAACTCGGTGACAGAAATGGAGCTGGAAATACAATGATTGAATTTTGCACAATCAACAACTTATTCATTGCAAATACGTTTTATAAGAAACATAAACACAGCTTACACACATGAATTTCACCTGATGGTATGCATAGGAATCAGAATGATTACATCTGTGGAAAGAACCGCTGGAGAAGCTAAATATCAGCTGTGAAAACTAGGGCAGGTGCTGATTATGGAACAGACCACCAACTACTCATATGAAAGTTCAAGCTGAAGCTAAGGAAAAATAAATCAAATCCATGGGAACTAAAATATGACCTTAAGTCTATCCCACCAGAATTTCAAAACCATCTCAGAAACATGTTTGAGACCTTGAACACCAATGAGAGAAGACCAGATGAATTGAGGGACGGTATAAAAAATATCATCAGGAAGAGTCCAAAAGGTTGTTACAAAGACAAAGGAGGAAGAAAAGACCAAAATGGAAGTCAGAAGAGACTCTGAATATTGTACTGGAGTGAAGAGAAGGCAAAGCAGAGGGAAGAGCTGAACAGATGATTTCAAAAGGTAGTGCAGGAAGACAAAGTAAAATATTACAATGAAATGTGAAAGGGGCTGGAGTCAGAAAATCAAAAGGGCCAAACTTGCTCAGCATTTCTTAAGCTCAAGGAACTGAAGAACAAATTCAAACTTCAAGTTGCTATACTTAAGGATGCTTTGGGCAGAATATTAAATAATCCAGGAAGTATTAAAAGACGATGGAAAGAGTTTAGAGTCACTGTATTGAAAGGAATTGGCAGACATCGAAGAATTTCATGAAATAACATATGAACCGGAGTCTATGATGATGAAGGAAGAAGTTCAATCTGTTTTGAATGAATTGGCAAAAAATAAGGCCCCAGGAATTGATGGTATACCAATTGATGCATTTCAACTAACAGACACTGCTCTAGATGTGCTCACCATTTTGTGTCAAGAAATCTGGAGGACAAACACTTGGCCAACTGACTGTAAGAGAGATATATATTTATTTCCATTCCAAAGAAAGGGGACCCAACAGAGTGTGGAAATTATCAAACAATATCATTGATATCACACGCAAGCAAGATTCTACTGAAGATTATCCAAAAACAACTGGAACAGCACATTTAACAGAGAACTGCCAGAAGTGAAGGCTGGCTTTAGAAGCAGTCATGGTACTAGGGATATTATAGCTAATGTTAGATGGATCTTGGCTGAAAGCAGGAAGTATCTGAGGAATATCTATCTTTGTTTCATTAATTATACAAAGGCATTTGACTCTGTGGATCACAACAAACTGTGGCTGACTGAGAAGAATGGGAATCCCAGAACACTTGATCATGCTAATGCACAACTTGAACCAGGAGGCTGTCATCAGAACAGAGTAAGGAAACACTGCATGGTTCAAAATTGGGAAGGATGTATGCTAGGGATGTGTCTTGTTCCCATACATTTTCAACCTATATGCAGAACAGATTATCCGGGAGGCTGGGCTCTATCAGGAGAAATGCGGCAACAGGATTGGAGGAAGATTCATCAACAATCTGCGTTATGCAGATGACACAACCCTTCTTGCTGAAACTGAGGAGAACCTGATGCACTTGCTGCAGAGGGTTAAGGACTGCAGCCTGCAATATGGATTGAGGCTCAATATCAAGAAGACAAAGATTCTCACCACTGGGCCAACTGGCAACATCAGGTTGGATGGTAAAGAGACTGAGATTGTTAACAGCTTTGGTTTGCTTGACTCCACAGTTAACACCCTTGACACCAGCAGCCAGGAGATTAAAAGATGTATTGCTTGTTGGCCATCTGAATGTCTTCCTTGGTGAAGTGTCTGTTCATATCCTGTGCCCATTTTTCAATTGGATTATTCTCCTTTATCTTGTTGTGGTGGGGGGATTGTGTACCAATGAGGGAGTTTTTCTTTTGCTTTTCAAGGAGAGGAGCAAAAGGGGAGGGGAGGGGGGAGGGGTTTGTGTGGGGAGAAGGGTGCCACAATGAATGAATAGAATCCCAAAATCTCTGTAGATGTTCATTGAAATGAAAAATAAACAACCTAAATTAAAAAAAAAAGATGTATTGCGGTAAAATAGTACCATTACATCTTAAGCTGTAGATATTTTATCTTATATTTTCTTTATAACTGTGCCAAGTATTATTTTACTACTTACCGTGTTACTCTGTGGAAAAAAAACCCTGTAGAGTGTTTAATAAAGTAAGCTCTCCTTAGATAAATGAAATCTGTCAAAATTTTGTAAAATATTAATCATAATAAATATTGACTCTTAAAAGAAGTATGTTAGGGACTGCTCCAAAGTATTGAAGAGCAGTGGTGTCACTCTGGAGACTAAGGTGTGCCTGACACAGGCCATGGTCTTTGCAATCACTTGCTATGCATCAGAGAGCTGGACAGTGACTAGGGAGAGAGAAGGAGAATTGATGTCTTTGAGCTGTGGTGTTGGAGAAGTGTATTGAATATACCAGGGACTGCTAAGAAAACGAACAGGTTCATCCTGAAAGGCTGCTCCTTGGAGACAAGGATTCTGAAGCTTAGTCTGACATACTTTGGACATGTTGCGAGGAGTCCTTAGAGAAGGACGTCATGCTAGGGAGGTTGGAGGAGAGGAAGACCCTCTATGAGGTGGATTGATTCAGCGACTGGGGTAATGGAGGTAAGTGCGTTGGAGATAGTGAGACTGGCACAGGATAGAACAAGGGTTTAGGCTGTTGCACATAGGGTCACTATGAGTCGCAGGCAACTTGACGGCACATAACAACAACAACAACATGGCATACACAACAATTTAATTCTGTACTCACTTTTTATTAACAGTTTGGTTGGGCAAAGAATTCTAGTTAAAATTATTTTCTTTTTCAGAATCTGAAAGGTGGTGTTCTATTGTCTCCTGGTCTTTGATCTAACTCTTGAAAAATGTCTGCATGTTTCTTTTTCCTTTGCAGTTACGGATTTTTCTCTTTCATTTCTTTGGAGGCTTCTGGTATCTATTTTTTAAAAATATTATGTTCATATTCTAGAATTTCATGTGGTAGATAGTCATTCTGTTAACTCTTTCCACATAAATTCTGAAAATTGTTCTTAACTATTTACATGAATTTTTTTTTACCCTTCCCTCAACAGCCACCTCCATGCCCAATTTCAGTTTCATCCAGTAAAAAGGTTGAACTTTTTATTCCCTAAAACATGGACAACTAAAAGAGAGAGAGAGAGAGAAAAAAAATCCTTCTCCTCTTTCTCTGAAAATCCTATTAAAAATTTGGAACTCCTCTATTGATGTTTTTAATCTTTTCTCTCCAGTTTTCTGTGGTTTCATTTTGAAGGTACAGCTCTCTATGTGTTAAAATCAGAGTTTACCTCATCTACAAGTGGTCATTTGGGAAAATTATTACCTTGAAAGTCACAACCTGTAAACCCAGTATCTTGGAATAAAACATTGTAGTTTCTTTGATACTCTTCACTGTCATCACAATATGGTCAAGTCTATGGATAAGACGTGATGGAAGAGTCCGATTGCCATCTCTCCATGACTGGAAAAAAAAACCCACCAAAAAAACACAACAAAACACAGAAAGACCACATTACAATTGGTTACTATCATGTTTCCTGCCTCTTAATTCCTCTTTATTCCCATTTACACTTTCCTCCCACCTCTATTTCAAGAGAAAAGTCCTAGGATAAAAACGTCTAATTGAGTCTCATTGTCCACGTGTGGATTCACCGGAGCTTATATGTGTCTACAATTTTGTTTTTATCTTTCATTCTAGAGGGATTAGAGTGAAGATAGGGGACAGTAAGAAGCACCTACCCACTCCTACATGACTCCTTCATGTTCCTCAAATTACAATCCATCTCTTTTCACACAAATGACACGACGTAAAAGAGATGCAGAGCTATAATTATGTGCTCTCCATTGTCCAGATTTAAGTCAGTCTCCTTCACATAACTCTAAAGCTATGATTACAAAGGAAAGGACAAGATAGACGCACTTCCAAGGAAAGAAATTCTCCTTGGCAATGTGTTTATAGATTAATTTTAAGATCCAATGGGAAGATGGGTTTCTCCACTAACCTCTTCTTGTCTTCAGCACACTCCCCATAAGATAATTTTTTGAATTATTATTTCATGGTTTCCATTTGTTAGTTATTTGTATATATAAATTACATCTGCTTTGGGGTACTCCTTAGAGCAGCTTCTTGCCACAAGGCCACCAGAGCTCCCTAGAAGTAGTTTGTATGTATATTTTATAGTTTATTAATGCTCTATCCTCTGCTCTATCTGGTGAAAATGTTACACAGTCATCCCAGATCAAGTCACTGGAGAATGTTTATTTCTTCTTTTTGCCAGCTCTGATGTTGGCCTTTGCATTTTCCCTGACTTTCTTCATCCTTTTCTTATGTTCCTTGCATTGTTTCCCTGACATCTTTTTCTTTCTCATACAGGCCATGTCATACACATCTGTGTTCAGGTTAATTTTTCTTCACATAATCCAAGAAGTTGTAGATCATGCCAAAGTCCATCATCTTTCCACCAGCAAAGTGGGTTCTGAATCCAAACAGAAAGATAACATCTGGTGTGGTATTGTACATTTTTGCTAGTTCTTGAATTTCTGTCTCAAGATCTATTGCCTTCCCAGGGTGAAGAACATCAACAACCAGATGCAGTAGTCATGAACTTCCTGGTCCAGATAGTCACTGTGCCATTCATGATGGCAGCTACCATTCACGCAGACAGGGAGGAAAAGAGAAGTAGTATAATTTTCATGCTCTTAGAACAATGTTTGATATTCAGAAAATGTTACTAAAGGGTTACTGCAGCCATTTTATCTAAAACTCTTTACCCTAATTTCCAACTTCCACAGCATCAGCTACTGCTCTTGAACTCCAAGCTATGATTCTTTAGCCTATCCCTTTAAAATGTTATTCTAATAGCTCTTTTGGCATATTTCATTATAATACTTTCCTTTGTCTTTCTGAACTGCCCTTTGAAATATCTGTTCAGCTCCCCGACATCTTGATTTCTTCCCTTTGTCTTCTGAGCACTTTAGTGCATTATTCTTTCTAGTGCAAAGTCTCTTCTGATATCCATCTCAGTCTTGTCTTCCTACTCTGTCTTTGTAATTACCTATAACATTCTTCATGGATAATACTCTTGATATCCTCCCACAGCTTGTCTGGTCCCCATTTTCAAGGCCTCAAACATGTTTCCAAGTTGGTTTTTAAATTCAAGTGAGATAAACTCAAGATCAAGTTTTGGTTACTGTGGATTTGTTCTAATCTTCTTTAGCTTCAGTTTGAACTTGCATATGAGTAGTTGATGGTCTGTTCAACAATCAGCACCTGGCCTAGTTTTCACAGCTGATATTGAGCTTCTCTAATGATTTTTTTTTCCACAAAATCAATCTGATTTTAATCAATCTGATTTCTATATAGACAACCAGGTGAGGTCCATGTGTATGGGCACTGCTAGTGTTTCTTATAAAAAGTATTTGCAACTAATAAATCATTGATCGTACATCATAGCCAGTGGCTGAAAGTCCAGAGTACCAGAGAAATGTCTATCTGTGTTTTCATTGATTGACTATGCACAGGCATTTGACTATGTGGATCACAACAAATTATAGCTGACCTTGAAAAGAATGGGAATCCCAGAACACCTGATTGTGCTCATGTGAAACCTATACTTAGACCAGGATGTTGTTGTTGTTGTTGTTGTTATGTGCCGTCGAGTCGCCTGCGACTCATAGCGACCCTATGTACGACAGCCCTAAACTCCGCTCTGTCCTGTGCCAATCGCACTGTCTCTGACACTCCCAACCCAATTATCCCAGTCACTGAATCAATCCACCTCATAGAGGGCCTTCCTCTCCTGCGCTGTCGCTCCACCCTCCCAAGCATGATGTCCCTCTCCAAGGACCGGTCTCTCCTCACAACATGTCCCAAGTATGTTAGACGGAGCCTCAGAATCCCAGTTTAACCCTTTCCAGGACAAATCTGTTTGCTTTCCTAGCAGTCTATGGTATTCTCAATACTCTTCTCCAGCACCACAGCTCAAAGGCATCAATTCTCCTTCTATCCTCCTTGGTCATTGTCCAACTCTCTGATGCATAACAGGTGATTACGAAGACCATGGCCTGTATCAGACGCACCTTAGTCTCCAAAGATATACCATTGCTCTTCAGCACGTTGGAGAGGTCCCTAACAGCAGACTTTCCCATGGCAATGCACCTTTTAATTTCCTGGCTGCTGGTGCCAAGACTATGGTTATCAAAACAGAGCAAGAAAGCACTGTGTGTTTCAAAATCAAGAAAGGAATGTGTCAGCGATGCATTTTCCCCCCATACCTTTTTAATCTATCTGCAGAACAGATTATATGGGAGCTTGGACTTTATGAAGAGGAATGTGGCATCAGGATTGGGGGAAGACTCATCAACAACCTGCGCTATGTAGGTGACACAACCTTGCTTGATGAAACTGAGGAGGACCTGAAGCGTGCTGCCAAAGGTATATATTGAAGGTATATATTAAAGCTCAATATTAAAACACACACACACACACACACAGATTCTAACCACTGAGCCAACTGGCAACACCATGATGGATGGAGAATAAATTAAGATTATTAACAACTTCATCTTACTTGGTTCTACCATCAATACCCTTGGCACTATCAGTCAGGAAATAAAAAAAAAAATGGATTAGGAAAATCTGCTGTCAGGGACCACTGTAGAGTGCTAAAGAGCAACAGTACCAGTCTATAGACTACACTGTGCCTGATCCAGGCCATGGTCTTCATTAGTACTTTCTACACATCAGAAAGTTGGATAATGAATATAGAGGACAGGAGAATTGATGCCTTTGAGCTAAGGTGCTGTAGAAGAGTATTGAACATACTATGTGCTGCAGAAGAACAGACAGGTTTGTCCTGGAGAGGATGAAGCCAGGTTGCTCCTTGGAGGCAGAGATTTTGAGTTTCTGTCTCACTTATTTTGAGCATGTTGTCAGGAAGGACATCATGCTTGGAAGGGTGGAAGGACAGTGGAAGAAAGGAGACCCACGATGAGTTGGATTGACACAGTAATTGAGACAATGGAGGTAGGTGTGTCAGAGGCAGTGAGACTGGCTCAGGATAGGGTAGGATCCCTGTCATAGCTAGTGCCTCTGTGAGTTCCAGATGACTCAACAGCACATAACAACAACAACAACAACAACAACAACAGTAGCTCTTGTGTCAGGTATTTTCAATTGCTAGTGTCTTTCTCCAGTAGAAACTTAAGTTTCACAAAAGTAGGAATTTGTTTCTGTTTTGTCCCCCCTTGCTGAACCACTAGCAAGATGTTCTACAACACTTGCTCAGGGAATGGATTATCCAACATTAAAAGTTCGACCCAGCGTCTGCCACAAAGTCAAGTCTAGGTGCTTTTTTTCTGTCCTATTCCTATTGTGTTCTATTCAATTCCATTACTTTTAAATTTTTATTTTCTTCCTTAAACCCTTCTTTTAAAAAATCACTTGTGGAGGAGTTATCATCAATGTCCTTGCAGGTGCACGGGCTCTACATGCAGGAAGAGAAAATGACTGACATTCAGACTCCATTGAAATAGTTATTAATGTTAAAAAAGTCTATCTTATAAAGTATGTGTTGTTGCCATGTACTGTCGAGTCTGAGCTGACTCATAGCTGGCCCTCTGATAGTCTTCAGAGACAGTAAATCACGTGGGAGAAGACTGCCTATCTTTTTCCCGTGGAGCTGGTGGGTTTGAATAGTGTGCCTTTGGTTTGGCACAGTCACCCCTTCTCACCAGGCCAAGAGAGCTCCTTGTCTGTAATATCTATAGGATATGAAAGAACATGCCTTTTTAATTCTTGATATTGGTAATTTATATTTATCTTTTAATTTCCTGATCAAAATAAGAAATTTTTAATAGCTTTTAAAGAACTATCTTTTTTATTGGAATGTCTTGTAGTTGTTGTTAGGTGCTATCAAGGTGAGCATGACCCATCATGACCTTATGAACAACAGATGTGAACCCTTTCTTATCCTGTGCCATCTTCATTGCCATCACACTCGAGATTCCTTGTTGTTTTTTAGCAAGCACCTACAAGCATCAAACTAATTTTTCCATCCACATATATTCCTCCCAAAAGAGAAGTTCTACAGTCATACTGATGACATTTTTCTCCCCTTCTTATGCTTTTTGGGGGCTGCTTTAACATCCATTACTTAGTAACAGGCTATCCCCATCCACCCATACACATCTTAAAAAAGGGGATAGGGACTATTGCTCACCAGGGACTGCAAACTGACTCTTCTAGAGCTTCATGCAACACTTAGATCTGTTTTGTTTGCCTCACCTGTTGACATTGTTGATTTTATGTTATATGTTTCTATGTTATTTCAACTGTTTCTGGTCTGATCTTACTCATGCTTCCTTACTTATGATTTTAGAGTTCAGTTTGTGGTTGCTTTTCCAGTTTTTTAATATGGAAGCTAGGTCATTGATTTTTGCTTTTGTTCTCTTTTGTACACATGTTATTGTTGTTGTTGTTGTAGACCATCGAGTCAGAACCAACCCTCCAATCACACAGGAGTTTATTTCCCATCTTGCTCCTGTGGAACAGGTCGTGTATTTGAACCACAAGCTTTCTATTGGCAGTGCAATTCCTTACCACTAAGGCATCTGTTAGTACCACTTGAGTTGCATCTCTCCTTTCCTTTATTTTCAGTCTATTGTAAGTAAATTCCCCAGTCCCTCCTGCAATTCTATTCCCTTCCTGCTCCAAATCATTCCCCAGCCTAGTCAGCCCAGATTGAGAGAATGAGCAGGTGTCCTTCTTTAAGGAACATGGGGTGGGGGGGATCGTGGATTTGAACCCAAGAGTGAATGAGGGGAATGAAATAGAGAAGAAGGCAGGAGCTACATCATCCTGAATCTTGAAGACAAGATTGTTGTTGTATTACATGCCATCAAGTCGCCCATGACTCAGTAACCCTACGTATGATATTTCTGAACTCTGCTCTGCCCTGAACCATTCTCACTGATTCCAACACACTTAACCCCAATACTCCAGTTACTGTGTCAATCCATCTCATCTGGAGTCTTCCTCTCCTGCACTGTCCCTATACCCTTCCAAGCATGATGTCCAAGGACTTGTCCCTCATGACTATGTGAACCTTGATTTAGAATCATAAAATTTGTTTTATGCCAAGCACTGCTTTAAATGTAAAAAATCATCCAAGGTTTGGCACAAAATGAACTTTATGATGATTGTGATCATCTTTTCCTAAATATACTTTGTATCACTAATTAGGAGATAAGGAAATATACTGCACTGGTAAAGTCTGCAGTCAGGGACCTCTCCAAACTACTGAGGAGCAATGATATTAGTTTGAGGAATAAGGTGTAACAGACTCAGATCACAGTCTTTTCAATCACTTTCTGAGCATTGGAGTTCTGGACAATGAATAAGGATAGCAGAAGAAAAAATGAAACCATTGAGCTGTGGTATTGGTGGAGAGTACTTACTGAATATCTCATGGCCTGCCAAAAGGACAGACAGATTTGTCTTGGAGAAAGTGAAGCAAGAGTGCTCTTTTGAGGCAAGGATGATACAGTTTCATCTTGCTCACTTTGGGTATGATGCTGTTGTTATGTTCTGTCGAGTTGCTTGTGACTCATAGCGACCTATGTACAACAGCCCTGAACCCTGCTCTATCTTGAGGCAACCTCATTGTCACTGACACATTTATCCCCATTACCCCAGTCACTGAGTCAATTCATCTCATCCAGGGTCTTCCTCTCTTGCGCTCTTCCTCCACCCTTGCAAACATAATGTCTCTCTCCAAGGATTGCTCCCTTCTTGCAATATGCCCAAATTATGTAAAATGAAGCTTCAAAATCCTTGCTTCCAAGGAATAGTCTGTTTTTACCCTCTTTAGAATAAACTTGTTTGTTCTCCTAGCAGTCCATTCAATATTTTTCTCCAGTACCACAACTCAAAGGCATCAGTTCTTCTTCTATCTTCCTTAGTCATTGCCTAGCATAGCAAGTAACTGAGAAGACCAAGGCCTGGATCAGGTGAACCTTAGTCTCTAGACTGACACCTTTCCTCTTTAGTACTCAGGAGAAGTCCCTGACAGCAGATTTTCTCAATGCAATTCATCTTTTGACTGCTGGTGCCAAGAGTGTTGATTGTGCAACCAAACAAGCTGAAGCTATTAATAATCTCAATCTCTTCTCCATCTATCATTATTCTGCCAATTGGCCCAGTGGTGAGAATCTTTGTTTTCTTGATGTTGAGCTTAATCCATATTGAAGGCTGTAGTCCTTGACCTTCTGTAGCACACGCTTCATTCAGGTCCTTCTCAGTTTCAGCAAGTAAGCTCATGTCATCTGCGTAGCACAGGTTATTGATGAGTCTTCTTCCAATCCTGTTGCTAAGTTCCTCCTCATATAGTCTCCCAGATGATCTGTTCCATATATAGATTTAAAAGGTATGGAGATAGGATGCATCCTTGGCATATACTTTTTCTGATTTTGAACCATGTAGTGTTTCCTTGTTCTGACACATGCCTCCTGGCCCAAGTATAGGTTTTGCATAAGAACACTTGTTCTGAGACTCTCATTTTTCTCAGAGTTAGCCACAGTTTGTTGTGATCCACACAGTCAAATGCTTTTGTATAGTCAATGAAGCACAGATAGACATTACTGTGGTACTCTCTGCTTCAGTTAAGATGCATCTAACATTGGCTATAATGTCCCTAGTGCCACGGCCTCTTATAAACTCAGCCTGCACATCTGGCAGTTCTCTGTGTGCTGTTCCAGTAATTTTTTAATACTTTTTAGTAGGCTCTTGCTTGCTTGTGACATTAATGATATTGTTTGACAATTTCCTCACTCTGTCAGGTCACCTTTCTCTGAATGGGAACAAATATGGATCTCTTCCAGTCAGGTGCCTGGGTGGTTGTCTTCCAGATTTCTTGGCACAACTTGGAGAGTGCATCCAGGGCAACGTCTGTATTTTCAAATATATCAATTGGTATGCCATCAATTCCTGGAGCCTTGTTTTTTTGCCAATTCTTTCAGAGCAGTTTTAACTTCCTCCAATATCACCATTGCCTCTTGATCATATGTTGTTTCATTAAATTCTGTGCCAGCCAATTATTTTTGGTATTGTGACTCTGTGTATTTCTTTCGTCTTCTTTTGATACTTCCAGGGTCATTAAAAATGCTGCCTACAGCATCCTTAAATATTGCAACTCAGTGTTTGAATTTGTTCTTCAGTTCCTTCAGCTAATCGGGGAAAGATCTGGTGTGAAAAACAATCCATATGAACTTTATGAACTTTGATTTAAACCAGTAAAAAATAAAAATAAATAATAATAAAAAAGAAATGCTGAGAGAGTTCATCCCTTTTGATTTTCCAACTTCAGCTCTTTGCACATTTCATTTTAATACTTTGCTTTATCTTCCCATGTTGCCCTTTGAAACACATGTTCAGCTCCCTAACATGTTGATTTCTTCCTTTTGCTTTGGCTTCTCAGTGCTCTAATGTAATATTCAGTCTCTTCTGACACCCATTTTGGCCTTTTCTTCTTCCTCTGTCATTGTAATGACCTTTTGCGTCCTTCGCATGTTGCTAGAAGAGGCTATTTCTTTTTACATTTTTATTATTATTAATTTTAATGAAAATTTACACAGAGATTTGGGATTTCCATTCATTCATTGTTCCACTTTTCTCCCAGCCCACCCTTCCCCTCCAGTTCGTTCTTTTCTTTGAAAAGTAAAAGAAAAATTCTTTAATTATTATGCAATCCCTCCCCCCCCCCAGTCCACTCTACTGTGCAGCCTTCGTTCTGGACTCATGTCATGACAATTAAACCTAATCATATATACCTTTTAAACAGTTCTTGGAGAAGCACATAATGTAGAAAGGTGGAGGGATGGAAAAGGAGAATAAGACCCTCAGCCAGGTGGATTGACATAGTGACTACAGCAATGGTATTGAGTATGTCAGAAATTGTGAGATTTTCACAGGATAGGACAGGATTCAGATCTGTTTCTGTGAGTCATGATGAACCCAAGGGCACCTAACAACATTCCATTAGGAGCTCTGGTGGCCTAGTGGTAAGAAACTCCACAGCAGTCCCAAAGGTGCACAGTTCACATTCACCAGCTGATAGCTCAGTAGGAGAAGAATGGGCAATTTTCTGCTGTGTGATTTACTGTCTTTGAAAACCCACTGGATGGTCAGCTGTTTGTTCCTACTTGACAGCACACAACAACAACCTTATTAGACATTAGACAACATCATGATAGATGGAGAAAAGATTGAAATTGTCATCAAATTCATATAACTTAGATTCCTAATCAACAACCTTGGTACCAGCAGAAGACATAGGGAAAGTCTGCTCTCAGAGACCTATCAAAAGTCCTGAAAAGCAGTGATGTCAGTTTAAAGACTAAGGTGCCCCTAATTGAAGCCGTGTTCTTTCCAATCACCTGCCACTCATCTGAGAGCTGGACAGTGAATGTGGATGACAAGTGAAGAATTGATGCCTTTGAATTTTGCTGTTAGAGAAAAGTACTGAATGTCTGAATATCTTATGGACTTTCAAGAGAACAAACAGATTTATCTTGGAGGAAATACAACCAAAGTGTTCCTTAGAGGCAAGGATGGTGAAGCTTCATCTCATGTACTAGGAAAGCCTTGGAAAAGACTATTAAGCTTGGAAAGCTGGAGGGTTAGTAAAAGAGAGAAAGACCATAAATTTGATAGATTGACACAGTGATTGTGGCAATGGGAATGAACATGTGAGGATTATGAGGATGGCACAGGACAGGATAGGATTCAGGTCCATTGTTCATAGGGTCACTATTAGATGTACTTGACTCAATGGCACCTAACAATAACAGCCCTAATTACATAAGTATAGTTAGAATTCCTAGAACACAATGCCTTTCTTCATTCTGCCTCTTCAGAACAGAGAAAGTGTCTATCTTCCTGCAAAGCCCTCTTTACATTCTCCTTCAGAATCCCACAAGCCCTTGTAATTCTCTGATTAAACTTTAAGGATAGTACTGTGGTTCCACATGGCCCATCATGTTGCCCTCAGATTACCCTCCACAAGCCACCCGTTTGTCTGTCTCTCTGCCCTGGATGAACTGATTTTCCCTGAATACTCCCAAAAGGGCAGCCAACACTCAGCCCAGGCTCCTGCCTGTGGATATGACTAGGTCGTTAGGTAGTTATACCATGGTCTTCTCATATCCCTCTGTTGTTCTCCTGTTTTTATCCAATCAGGAAGAAAAAGAGACAGAAAGAATTAGAAAATGAATGTCAGCACACCAGAAGGGCCCAAGTAAAGGGAAGCCGGTTACTAGACCTTGTCCAGGGGTTCTCCAGGTGTGATGGTACAGGCCAGGGGCACTTCATTCACCTGTTTTTCTGATGTTCTGCCCCATATCCTGGTTGGAAGTCACATGGCAGGCAGGGCACATAAGGAGCAAAGCCAGAGAAGAGAGGCTGTCCTTTCCCTGGGGCTTCCAGGCAACCTTTGGCCCAGTGTCCAGAGATTAAAGGGCAGGAATTGGAGGGCCACAAGCTGAGCACTGCTGTTACTGACACAAATGGGCAGTGCAAGTGCAAGTGCAAAGACTCTGACATAGAAGACAGGACCCCAAAAAGGAAAAAGAATAAGGTGCCTGTGTGTAAGGGGATTACTTCTTAAGAACACATGAAAGATATCCATCCCAAAGTATTTGCAGTGACTTTTATTTTAGACTAGAGAGTCTCTGATCTACTGAAAGGTATGTGTCTCCATCTTCTTGTGAGGTGTTCAATTTTGGCCTGTTTGAATTAAGATATTAAGTCTCTTTTTCAGAAAAAAAGATTCCTGAACTTCCAAAAGTCTGGTATCAAGTCTGGTAATGTTTCCGAATTCTTTGGGATTGTGAGCTCTTGGACTTCCTATCCTCACCTCATCCACAGACTCCATCAGTTAGGCAATGTCAAAAGACTATGGACTGCATGAGGACTGCTGAGTCTGACTCACTAACTCTATCAGGGCAACTGTCCCACTTAAGAACATCTACAACTCCAAAACAATTCCTATGAGGTCAGACATGGCTCCTACACTACTGCACTTACTTTTACTAATTCCATCATCATCAGTGCTTCTGTTCTTCTGGGTCAGAAATCCCTTATAATACCTACACAGACCTCACAGAAGCAGAATCTCAGGCACATAGTTCAAATCCATTAGCTACTTCATGAGAGAAAGATGAACAATCTCATTCTGTGTAACTTAAAGCCGCTGAAAACTCTCTGATCAGTTCCTTGAAGGTACACAACAACAGTAGTGTTAACTTTAACACAAATAATTAAGTGAAATAATTTAATTTCAAACTACTGTATTCATTATTATGTATTTCTATGTCAATTATGTGTGTGTGTAAACTTATAAAAATGTTTGGCATTATACAAATCTGGGTATTAAAGGTGAATTTGAGGGGAGCTCTGATGGCCTAGTGGCAAGGAGCTGCAACTAGAATCCCAGAGGTGGACGGTTCAAATCCACCAGATGCTCTGCCGGGGAAGGAGGGACAATCTCCTCCTGTACCAGTCGGATCTGATTTGACGGTACACTCACACAAAAATAATAAAATAAAAATTTAAAAAAAAAACAATGGTATTAAAGCTCTGAGTTAATAACTGACTGGTCAATCATTACTGCTCTTCAGAAGAAATATGTGGTATAGTATGTTTCTGTAAAGATTTACAGCTGATGAAACTCTACGAGGCTGTTCACCTCTGTCCTGCAGGACCACTCCTAGTTAAAATTGATTTGAAGGAGGTATATTGGTATATTGGGTTTAATTTGGTATTTTAAAACCAAAATAAAAAAAAATATCAACCTTTACATCTTGACAAAGATTAAAAAAGAAACCATGGAGGGTTGGTGTTGCAATGCTAATGTAAAGACCCATAGTTTAAACTCACCATCAGCTCCATGAAAGAATGAAGAGGAATTCTTATCTAGAGACACTTACAAATCTGACAATAGGTGCTTCGAAAGGACAAAGGTGAATAAATAGATAAAAATCCTCTTTTAGTGTCCTTGTGCAATTAGGTGATTCTACTTAACAATCACGGCATAAGCTATTTTAAGCTAAGTCCTAAAGCCATTTCAATCCTTTTAAATCTTCATTACCTTTCTCCCTAGTGAACTTACCTGTCATGTTTGTTGAGAATTGATTAAGGCAAATAAATTTAAATTTGTATCGTGATTGTCAGCTCAATGTGTGTGTGGTATGTTCAAATATTACTCTGATAGCTTGATGACAATGATGGATATTTTTGGCTGTTGGATTGCAGTCCGATTGCAGTCCTGTTCAAGGTTTTTGAGCTTTGTTCTCCGGGGGCTTTGGTGGCATAATCCATATTGAGCTGCACTGCTAGCCCAAAGACTGTACTTCTTTGACAGCTTGAATCGACCACTGACTGCATGGGAGAAAGATGGGCAGTCTCTTTTCATGCAATTTGCAACCTCGGAAACCTGATGGAGGGTCAGCTATGATTTGGAACTCACTTGACATTAATGAGTTAAGTTTTCCCCCTCTGATAGAGCTATTTAACCTCTAGCACACCAAAACCAAATTTTGCCTCCATTTGAAATTCATTTCAGTATTCCTTTATGCATCACATATGTTTGTGAGGTTCTCTATTTTCCTTTGGACTGATCATGGCATCTGCTAGGTTCTTTCACAAGAATAAAATGCTTGTAACTGAGGAATTGCTTATTACTGAATTAGGAATTTCAAAAGTTGACCACATTTTCATGCACTATAGGTAAATGGCCCTCTGTATAGTGAAAAACAACTATACAAAAATATTTGCAAATTAATCCCTAAGGGTGTCCCTCATTGTCACAAGGCCATCTTCTAAATTTCAACCTAAAATAAGTCCTTATTCAATGCATCGTTATGAAAATCAAAATACAAACATTTTGTCAAATGTGAAGAAAAGAAAAATTTTATATTTATTTAACACATAAAAATTATGTAAGTGGTAAATATTAGCTATTTCATAATTGTCTTACTACATAACTTTTTACTTTGCTTGTGTTCTCTTTTTTATGAGTGGGGAGGGAAAAAAGATGAAATTTCAGCATTAAAACATTCAAAAGATAATTCTGTTTAATTCTTTTCCTATTTGTTTCCCCCTTTCATGTCTAAATTAAATCAAAAATTCATGAGAAGGGTAAGATTAAGCTGGCATAGGGGCCAAAAAAAAAAGATGAAATTTCAACTTTAAAACATACAAAAGATAATTCTGTTCAACTGTTTTCCTATTTGTTTCCCCCTTACATGTCTAAGTTAAATAAAAATTCATGAGAAGAGTAGGATTAGAGTGGCGTAGGGACAAAAGAGTGTTATTTCATTTCATCAGTTTTGTTTCTTAAAAAAAAAAAATCCAAGCCATAAAGTCAACCAGCTAATCATTTTGTCAACCAGAAAAACCACATTTTTTGTTGTTTTTGTGTTTTCTATAATACATATGCAGAGCTATTGTTTGTTTTTTTGGCATGATGGCTACAAACTGGGAATACAGAAACACAGAGGAAATCCTCTGAGATGTAATTTGACAACTGCTCTCAAAAAGCACAGCACAACAAAATTAGACCATACATTGAGCAAGATTTTATGATAGCTTTTAGCTTACTATGTTTTATGATTTTAAGCATTTTTATTAAGAAATAAAAATATGTAACTACCCTTCAACCTGGTGCTACCAAAAGACTAAATTTTGGTTTCATAATAAGTATTGGCAGTCATCCCCTGAGCAAAAGAATTCCTTGTTGCACAAACTCAATGTCTTCTGAGATATTTTCTTCAAATTGTTTTACATGGGACTCCCATTCATAGCAACAGCATCTTACTTTGTTTTCATAGCAAGACAATATAAAACTTATTTTCTAAAACCAAAAAACCTGAACTTTTTCTTTTTATTCTTGTAATTACTTTGTTGAATTGTACCACTCTTTTATACATACATCTTCAGTGCTATTTATATAAATTTGATTATATGTTTCATGTAAATAACATGTGTGTAAATATAAATGTATGCGTGTATGTGGTTGGGGTGGGTGGGTTCCCTGGGTGGTGTAATTCATTAAGGATTCTATTACTAACTGATAAAGTTGCGTTTAGACTCCTTCAAAGGGGTAAAAAATATTTTTTTTCAATTGTTGTTGTTGCTTTGTGCTGTTGAGTCCCTCATGACTCATAGCAACCCCTATGTAAAATAGTCCTGAAATCAGCTCTATCCTGTGCCAGCCTTATTATCTCTGGCACACCAACGTTCATTACCCCCAATCACTGAACCAGTCCATCTCACAGAGTGTATTCCTCTCTTGTGTTGTCCCTCCACCCTTCCAAGAAAGATGTCTCTCTCCAAGAACTGCTTCTGGCTTGCAACATGCCCAAAGTATGTCAGAGAGGCCTCAAAATTCTTGCAACCAAGGAGCAGTCTGGTTTCACTCTCTTCAGGTTAAAACTGTTGGTTCTCCTAGCAGTCCATGTTATATTCAATACTCTTTCCAGCACCACAGCTCAAAGGCATCAATTATCTTTCTATCATCGCAGTCATTGTCCAGCTCTCTGACACAAGTACTTGCAAAGATTATGACCTGGATCAGGTGCACCTTAGTATTCCAGACTGATGTCATTGTTCTTCAGTATTCTGAAGAAGTACAATTTGTCTTTTGATTTCCTGGATGCTTGTATCAAGAGAGTTGGTTGGAGCCAAGCAAACTAAAGTTAATAATTTCAATCTCTACAGCACCTATCATAATATTGCCAATTGGCCCAGTGATGGGAATCTTTGTTTTCTTGATATTTACATTCAACACACAATTGAAGGATGCAATTCTTTGACCTTCTGCACCAAGCGCTTCAGGTACTCCTCAGTTTCAGAAAGCAGTATTGTATCATGTGCATAACACAGGATGTTGATGAGTCTTCCTCCAATCCATACTCCTTCTCATAGATCTCAGTCTCCCAGATGATCTGTTCTGCATATAGACTGAAAAGGTATAGAGATAGGATGCATCCCTGGTGTACACACTTCGCAATTATTAACAATGCAGTGTTTCCTTGCTCTGTTCAGATGACTGCCTCCTGGTCCAAGCATAGTTTTCACATAACCACAATCAACTGTTCCTGGAGTTCCATTCTTCTCAGAGTCAGCCATAGCTTTTTGTGATCCACACAGTCATATGCCTTTACATAGTCAATAAAACACAGATAGACATTCCTCTTGTATCCCCTGCTTTTAGCCAAGATCCATCTAACTTTAGCTATAATATCCCTAATACCACAGCCTCTTCTAAATCCTGCCTGTACATCAGGCAGTTCTCTGTTGATGTACTGTTCCAGTTGTTTTATGATAATTTTCAGCAGAGTCTTGCTTGCATGTGATAGTAATGATATTGTTCTATAATTTCCGCACTCTGTTGCATCATCTTTCTTTGGAATAGGAAAAAACATAGATCTTTTCCCATCAGTTGAACAGATGATTGTCCTCAGATGTCTTGGCACAACGTGATGAGCACCTAAAGGGCAACATCTATTTGTTGAAATATGTCAATGGTATGCCATCATCGGTTCCTGGGGCCTTGTTTTTGTCAATTTGTTCTTCCTTCATCAACACAGGCTCTCACTCACATGTTTCCCATAAGGCCTTAAGAAAGATTCTGAAAGATCATAACCTAAATTCCTATGAACCTTGGTTCTACATGCATGAAGTATGAGCTAGAATTGACATCATGGCAACTGGGCTTTTTAAGTAGATTTGAGTATACATATTAAATATTCATAAAAGAAAGTTCTCTTGTTGTTCGTAGGTGTCATTGAGTCAACTCTGACTCATAGAGACTATGTATAAGAGCGTGTAACATTATCCCATCCAGCACCATCCTCATAAATTCTGTTGTACTTAAAATCCATTGCTGTGGTACCATGTCACTCTATCTTATTGATTTTATACTTTACAGAGTGTAATGTCTTTCTCCAGGGACTAGTCCCTTCTGATAACATGTGAAAAGTATGTGAGACAGAGTCTTGCTCTCTTTCTTCAAAGGAGCATTTTGTTTTCATGTCTTCTAATATTAATTTGCTGTCAAGGACCTCTCCACAGTACTGAAATGCAACAATGTCAGTCTAGAGACCAAAGTACGACTAATCCAGGCCATTATCTTTACAATTACTTGCTATGCATCAGAGAGCTGGACAATGACCAAGGATGATAGAAAAAGAATCTATGCCTTTAAGTTGTGGTGCTGGAGAAGAGTCTTGAACATACCATAGACCACCAAACAAACAAATAGGTCTGTCTTGGAGAGGGTGAAACCAAGAGTTTCCTTGGAGGCTAGGATTTTAAAGCTCTGCTTCACATTCTTTGGGTACGTGGCCAGGAGGGACTAATTCTTGGAGACATCATGCTCAAAAGGGTGGATGGATGGTGCAGGAGAAGAAGACCCCGGATGAAATGGGCTAATACGGTAACTGGAACTATGGTGGTTGGTGTTTTGGAATCAGTGAGACGGGCTCAGGACAGGGCAGGCTTCAGAGCTGCTGTACATAGGGTTGCATGTAACTCAATAGCACATAATAACAACAACAGTAACAATGGTATTAATATGTTTGTTTTTTTAAACATTAATTTTCTTTGCCAACAGCACAATTAAAAGCAATGTGCTGCCAAAACAAAGGTACATAGTTTGAATGCACCAGCTGCTTCGCAGAAGTAACAGAGACAATCTTCTCTTCTATGATTAACTACCTCTGAAAACCCACTGGAGGGTCAGCTATGGGTTGGTTCTAACTGGATGGTATAAAACAACAACATTTTCCAAAGGAGCTCTGGTGGCCTAGCAGCAAGAGGCTGCACTGTAATCCCAGAGGTATGTGGTTCAGATCCACTTGATACTCTGCTGGAGAAGAAGAGGCAATCTCCTCCTGTACCTATCAGAACTGATTTGATGGTCCACACGAAAAAATAATAAAAATGTAATTTTTAAAAAAAATTAAAAACAACAACATTTTTCTTTGGTATTTTTACTTCATTGTCTGACTTTCTTATGTCTAGGAAGCAATTGAATATTATGGCTTCTGTCAGGCACATAATAATTTTTATATTGACAACCTTGTTATTTTGTACTTTAAGGTAGTTCTAGGCA